GTCAGTTAACCCCAATTGCCTTAAAGACCAAGTCCTAACTGCACATGAACAGTTGTTATTATCTTTTCAGATGCCAGTCAATGAGACTAAAGAAATGAAATGTAGATGTTTAGCTGGCATTGAGTGAGAAGGGTATTAAAGATGTGACTCTAATCAAATAATGATAGTTAGGCATTAGCTTTTTGGGAGGAAGTTGGATACAGTGCAAAACACTCAAACATGATACCTCTCAGCTAATTCTTAATAGGCTTGATGATAATATTCCGGAGTCTGTTAACTTTAGACCAAAGCTTTCAGTAACAGACAGGGCTTCTACGACTTGACTTAAGCTTGAACACAAGCCCCTCTTCCTCAGCCAGGATCTTTAACAGGCCTTACCCTCAGGTGCTCAATAAATGTTTGTGGAATGAATTTCCTTAGCAAGGGAACTTTGCTCACACCTCTTTAACAGAAGCTGTACAAGACTGGCTCAACACAAAATAAAAATACCAGTGTGGTAGTTTGTGGAGGCATTTTTCCTTGCAAACTGCTTTGATTCTAGTCAAAAGGAAGTAACTTTCTACACAAAGAAAAGAGAATTATTGCCTCTTCTAACAGCTTTTTGTTTTTGCAGTCCGGGTTAAGTGACTTGCCCAGGGTCACACAGCTAGTAAATGTCTAAGGCCAGATTTGAACTTAGGCATTTTTAGCCATTTATTCTTTTACCAAGTGAAATTTAAATATAGGAACAAGGTTTGTACATTAAGTACTCCCTCTTTAATGGAATTTAATAGTTATGAAATCCACCTTTTACTCTGGTGACTTGTGCCTAGGACAACAATCAAATAGGTTTTCAGAGTTTAAAGTATTTTCTTTATGTGTCTATCATCATCTTCTTCACTTCTCCCTACAAACATCTAGATCCGGGGTCGCCACCGCTATGAGGTATTCCGGGAGCTGAATGAAGCCTTGGAACTGAAAGATGCTCACAGTGGGAAAGAAGCTGAGGGGAGCTGTCCCCACCGCAGGTGGGTATCCCAAGCCGGTGCCTGCTGCCTTCCAAGTTAAGTCCCTGCCAACCAGCCTACCCATACAGGAAGTTCTGACCTTTGGCTGAGAGATCTCTGAGGGAAAAGATGTTGTGGGTTTGCCACCCTGGCCACAATTTATCTGGGGGGGGGGGTTGGCAATGGGAGTCAGGGTACAGCTGGCAAAGATGAAAATAGCCTTGATAAAGCCCTTGTCCTGATAAATCCCATCCCATAAGGAGCACTTATGTTCATCCTGTTTGTATACTCACTTAGAGTTGGCCTGTCTTTCATGTGAGCACTCCAGTGATATTGCAAGTATAGTTGAGGTCAGAGACTATGTGTCCTGCTTTTATTAGCACACAAGTGATGGCTAATAAGTGCTTATTAAATAAGCTTCTGTGACTGTTTTCCCAGCTTTATCTCCTCTAAACTATGTGTTTCCTACAGCCAATTGAAGTCCAAGAAAGGAGATTCTACCCCCTCTCAAGGCAAAAGACTTTTGGTGAAAAGTGAAGTTCCTGACTCTGACTGAATATAATCACCCCCATCCCCCAGACCCTCTGTTTCTTATTTCCCACATACAGCCTCTTTTCCAAGATTCCCAATCTTTAGCCTTCCCCTTTCTTCCACCTTGAATGTCTAAAGCTCAAACAATATTGAGGTGTCCTTTGCTAAAACAGATAATTAAGGAGGCCTTTCTCCACTAGGCTGTGCTCCCTCACTTTGTTGTGCAGTTGTCTGCTTCTTTATGACCCCATGGACCATAGCACTCCAGTACCGTCCAAAGGGTTTTGTTGGCAAAGATACTGGAGCGGTTTGCCATTTCCTTCTGCAGTGCATTAAGGCAAACAGAAGTTAAGTGACTTGGTCACACTACTACTAAGTGTCTGAAGCCAATTTGAATTCGGGTCTTCCTGATTCTAGGCACCACTTTATGTCTACTGAGCCACCTAGCTGTCTTCGCTCACTTTCGCGTCTCTAAGAGGGGGTAGTGCTATCTGAGAAAAGTATTCTAAATAAAAATATTGGGAGCATTGGAATCATTGACTGAGGAAAGAGGCCCCCATGTTTTATAGGTGAGGAAACTAAGGCCAAGAGAGTGATTTGCCAAGGTCACAGATAGTAAGTGAGAAACAGGATTTAAACCCAGAGCTCCAAAAGTGATGGGTATGCTTCCGTTCAGCCACACTGCCTTTCTAGACTAGAGGCCTTGCTTAGAGCCATGATGGTTTCTTGAAACTGTTACATGTGTTTCTGCCATTTTGGAAAGTGTGTGCACATTCACTTAGGCATGTGTTCCTGGTAAGGTGGGGGAGGGTGACGGAAAGAAGTCAGGAAAGTGGGTGGTCACAAATAGTTGTTGATGGGTTGACATCTGTGATAAAATGAGCTGTCTTCTCCCCACCCCCAGGATTTAGACTCTTAAATGCTCACTGGAATGTGCTTCTACCAAAATGTTCTGTGCCCTCTAGCCTTAAGCTAGACTCTGAAGTTTTATTTTCACTCACCTCTATTTAGCATTTCCATTCATGATGAATGTAGGCAGCAAACATTTTGAGAAAGGAGCCATAAGTTTCACCAAACTGCCAAAGGGGTTTGACGTAAAAATGGTTAAGAACCCCAGTGCTAATCTCAGATTCTCAGGAAAGCGAGGTGAACTTTTCTCCACCCTCAGATTCCTCCTTCCTCATTTTCTCCCACAAACTCTTACCCCTTTTTTTGTACCTTTTTGCTATTTTTATAGAATTTCTTATTTTCAAATAAAGAGTTAATACTAGTTGTCCATCTGATGATGCTAAAACGCTAGGGGCCTCTTGGGGGAGCAGAGGGAAGGAACCATAATGGGGGGGGGCTTGAAGGGGAGGGAACAGGCTCCTAGTTCCAGGAGTGAAACAAAGCATGGGGACTGGGTCAGTCTGCGGGCTGCATGACAATGAGGGGGGCTGTCTTATTCACACCCTTCCCCCCAGTCCTATTCATAACTCTAGGTCCTCTCCACTGTCCCCTTCCCCAGGAGGGCAAGACTAGAGGGGGAGGGACTCACAGCTTCTGCCCTTTCTACTTCCCCAGGGATGGAACTACTATCCCTTCATCTGCCTTTCCTCAAGGATTATGGGATTTAAGGGTCCAATTTAGCAAATCTAGGCAGCCAGGGTGGCCATCTGCTCCCCAGGAGTGTGGGGGATGGGAACAATGGAGCTGCAAGATTCCAGGGTACTGGAGCAGAGTGGGGACTGGTGAGAGGCAGGAGTTGGGGGGCTTCTGTCCCAATGTACCCAGAGAGTGAAGGGGCAGCTGAGGTGAGAGCTGGGAGCTGGGGTGGGGGCAGGGAAGGAATCTGGCATCTCTTCAGGCTGGGCTGAATGCCAGGCGATTAGATGAATTGAAGCTTTAAACTCTGCCAGGAAAACCTTTGAAAAGACTTTTTTGGGGATGGGAGGGCAGGGTTGGTTTAGGGGGAGGCTCAGTGTTTCCCCATTCGGTTCCCAACTTTGACTGTTGGGGAGAGTAGGGCAACAAAGAGGATTCCCCTCCTCCCCAGTTATCCAGCTTACAGTGCTAGGTGCCTCCTCCCTGCATCTTAAAGAGAGGGGGACCTCCCTAGGGCTGACCACCTAAGTGGTCAAGGTCAATGTCTAGTCTCTAGAGCTTTGGGTGTAACTAGGCCTCAGAATCCATAACCAAAGAACACCCCGCCACAGAACAGATCCCCTGGACACAATATCCTGCTGCTGCACATGAGCTCTGGATTCTCATAGGGGAAACCTTAGGAATCTGTTGACCCCCTTAAATTTGAGACCTTGAAAATTAAAGCCAAATGCCTAAACTCTCCAAGAGCCCTCTGCCACCACTTTGTTGAGTCTGGGAGACATACGTCTTTTGCAAGATATTGCCTCTTTTTGAGTCTTTTAAGGCAAGATCACTACCTGCCCTCTCTTATACCCCCTTACATTTCCCAATGTTCAGAGTCTTTGGTTCTGTCTCCCACTACAAGAGCTGATTACTTAGAATTCCACCAATCATTCCCACATGGATGCTGGCCTAGTCTAACTAAAAGCATTGGCAGAACTGGATTCCAGACCCAAGCCCCTTGACTCCAAAGGTGGCCTTCTTTACGCTGTCACTCACTTTGTATACAGCTTCAGCTCCATCTACCCATGCTCTCCAGTTCTCTCAGGGGTATACTTTTGCCCCAGATAGAGCATAAGTCTTGAGAATAGGAATCAGTATCTACCTTTTTTTTTTTAATTGAGGCAGTTGGGGTTAAGTGAGTTGCCTAGAGTCACATAGCTAGCAAGTATTACGTGTCTGAGGCCGGATCTGAACTCGGGTCCTCCCAACTCCATAGCCAGTACTCTATCCACTGCGCCCCCAACTACCCCTCTACCCTTCTTTTGAATTGGGTTGAATGAAATGTATACTTTCCAGATCCAGTATAAATGGTAGACACCACACAGATTATTCTATTAATACCACTGAATTGAGGGACTCTGCAAAGGGCAAGTTAGAGACGCTAAGGAATAGGAATGTTTCACCAGGCACAGAGTCAGGAATCAGTGGCCTAGATAATCTGAAGATCTGGCCCTAGGTAAACAATTAGCCTTAGTTCACCTACTTCCCATACCTATCCCTTTTCTCCCTTAAAACCACAGAAAAAGAAGATACAAGACACAAGACAAGTTGGATGTGTGATATATATATATATATAATATGTATATGTATATATGTATATAATCTCTCATTGTATTGTAGTTTTATCTTTTACAGTAGATCTGACACAGGCATTAAATAACTAGAGACAGACCTCTGGGGGTCCGAGGTAAGGGGAAATGGGAACAGAGGTGGGTGAAAGAATAAGAGTTGACATTTATATACCTAGTTATGTTTTGAAGCATGTTTTACATACATTATCTCATTTTAACCTCACAACAACCCTGTGAGATAGGTACTACAGGTATTATCCCCATTTTACAGATGAGGAAACTGAGGCTCAAAAAAAGATTAAGAAATTTGCCCATGGTCACACAGGTAGTAAGTATCAAAGGCAGGACTTGAACCCAGGCCTTGCCTGATTTCAAGAGAAAAGGGACAGATCCAAGGAAGGAGAGTGCAGCATTAATAGGGAATAGATTTGGGATGGAAAGGAGGAAGGGAAGTATTAAAACACCTCTGTGATTAAAAAAATACTTCTGAGCAGGGGCCTCTTTAAACAGGTTATGGGAATTACAGGGCTAAAAAGGCAGAGAGGGTTTGAAGAGGGAGCCATTTTCAAATTCAGAGGGGGACTTAAAACTTTCAAGTTGATGTTAAGTGGAAAATGAGTGCTAGTAATTGGCCAATGATTTGCTAAGAAAAACTAGACTGGGGGGCACAGGAAAGAAGGTGACATATTACCATGGCCAGATGAGGTTTCCAAGGTGGCCACTGGAGACAAAGCCAGTTGAAGATGGCCACCCAAAGCACTGGAAAATGGAGCTGAGGGTGGGAGGTGGGGAAATGTTTATAAGGAAATTATACAGAGATAAAATTGACCAAATATGTGTCCAAATGTCTTTTGGAGCAGCAGACACCAGGTTATGGAAAAAGTATCAGAAGGAATGAGGGACAGAGTTTGTGAATTTTCAGTCAAGGAACAAAAATGGCATCCCTCTTCTTAAATGCCCCTTTAAAGCCCAAGGGAGGAGAGAGGACACCCCATTTTTCAGCTCAGACATCCACCACACGGAGAAGGGGGTAGGGAATTGAACAAGGAGACCTAGAAATGACAATTTAAAGGCTTCAGTAAGATGTGGAGTGTGAGGGGAGAAGAAGTTGGACAAACCCCATCTTCAACTCAAAAATGGCCACCTAAAGAGGAGAGCAGGATTATTAAGTTTGGGAGAAAGAGACAGGTTCCCAAATATCTTATCTCCAAGTCACTAAGATGGATGGTGAAAGGGAAAGGGGAGATGGGTTTGTAATCAGAAGAGTGGGCCTCACTGACAGGACACACTCACCACCACTACCAGGGAAACCATGAGAACATTTTTTTGAGTCCATAAAAATAAGAAAAAGGAGGGAAGTGGGGCAATTGTAGGAGTATTTCACCAGTAGCCATACAAGTACCTGGATGGCATTGGAAACCAACCTGTCAGTCAAGGGGCAAAGATGGCCTCCCTGCTCTAAACCTCTCACATGCCAACAGTGGGAGAAGGTATTCTTTCAGGGAGTCAAAATGGCTACCACCCAACAGGGATGGGAGTTGAGAAAGAGTGGATGGAATTATAGCTCTGTTGTAAAAAATACCTTTGGGGCAAGGAGGGAGTTGGGGAGAGGCAGGTAAAGGACATCAGGCAGGGAAGGAGGCATCCAGAAAGCACATTCCATAAAGCCCTGGGGGAGACAGGGAGAGGGACAGGGAGGGTTGCAGTGAGGAGACTCAGGTCTTTTTTATTATTCGGAGTTTGAAGGCTACTCGGCCAGCAAACTTGTCACGCTCATCATTAGTGGCAATGTTGACTGCGTTAATTCGGCACTCAACATTTACTTCCACGTTGGGGGTCACATTCATGAACTTCACAGCCACCAGAGGCTGTGTATAATTCACCTGTGGAGGTGTATAGAGAAGTAGGTGAAGAACTACATCTGACTTCAACCCTTGCTTTTGGGGTTCTCCCCATCCCAAGAAAACCCAGTTCCCTTCAGGAAATTAAGGGGGGGATCCCAACCCTACTCCAACCCTCATTGGACTTACATGGAACTTCTTGCCATAGTAGGGAAAATACATCAGGTCAATGTTGCCATTGGCAGGGAACATAGTGAAGTCACCGAGATTTTTGGCATCCTCATTGCGCTGCAGAATGAATGATAGGGGATGGTATCATTACAGATGAGACTCAAGCAACCCATGGGGATCAGCCCACAGGGCTGAGTCTTCTCCACCAGCAAAAGAAATCTCTGCCTCAGGAAGTTTTCAGAAGAAAAAACATCAGAGCTATCAATAATCACATGAAAGAATGCTAAGTCACTATTGATTAGAAAAATGCAAATTAAATCAACTGAAGTAATAATCTGTCTCAGAGCCTTTTGGTGTAACCTGTTCTTTTTTCTGTTTATATCTGTGTACTGTGTCGCGTCCTGTCTCCCCTCTCAGAAGTCTTAAATGAAGGAACCTAGTCTCTTCCAACAGACTGGGAGATCATGTATCTGTCAGACTGAGGACGGAACTGACTTTCTACCCTCCCCACCCACTCCTGGAGCTCTTACCCCTTCCTCAGAGAAGCCATTCTGGAGCAGAGCCAAAAAAGAATAAAGATGTGAGAGGGCAAATAAGCAAAAGGAAGGATTGGGGTGGGGGTGGGGAGCAATCCCTAAGTAAATGGGTGTGGATCCATTATCTACTTAGTTGCTAAAGAAAATTGAGAAAGCTGGTAGGGGCAGAAAAAGAAATGGAGAATGAGGAGGAAGAAGAAAAATTAGTGACATTAATAAGCTTAGGCTTTAGGAAGAGGGTTGTCTCTACTCAATCCTAATTAAAGACTAAGCAGGTGTGGAAGCACCTTAGGGTCCAGGCCAACCTGAAACATCTAAGACTGCCCTTCAGTCTAGCCACTAGCTTCTCTTACCCCCTTGTCCCTGTAGTTTCGAGGCCTCTGAGAGAAAGAAAAAGAGAAAGATGAATGATAGGAACCATAATAAGGGCAGGGACAACTTGGAAGTTATCCAGTCTCACCTTCCCGACACAGGTAACGTTCATGCTTTGATTGGCTCCTGCATAGAAGTTGATGACCTGGAAAGAGCAGAGAGAGATAATGTCAGGTATCCTCTAGCTTGTCTTCCACATCCAGAGACACACACACACACACACACACACACACACACACACTCTTCCCCAAAGCCCCTATTTTCCTTTGGGGAGCCAAAAAAACACAAAGAAACCATAATTTCCATTAGTCCGCTGGGCAAAGGAATTGGCAGAGGAGCTAACTGTTCTGGAGACCACCGAGAGCTGTGGTTCTCTCCCACCCCATCACCACCCAAGCCCCAGTTCTTTCTTCCAGGGAACCCAACTGCCTGTAGTACCCGGTTCATCTTGATAAAGACGCAGGGCTGGCCAGTGCTGTAGCCATAGTGGGTAGGGTCGCTAAGCCCTGAACAGTCACCCAGCTGTGTCCTGTTGAACTGACAAGCCCGCTTGGGATAGTTGAGAACCCCATTGTCCGGCTGTTCATAATAGTGCCCCGGGCGGCAGACATCATTCTTCTGAGCCTGGACTGAGTCATTGTAGGCTGTAGGAGTAAAGAAAGCTGTGGACCTGATGTCTGTCTGTCCAGCGCTCTGCCCATCCCAGTATGAAGGTACCTTTGTCCTTCCCTAAGGAACCTGAGCACCCAAACCCCACACTCACGCTCCAGGAATTTATCAAGTATCTGCACATGCTGGTTCCAGCTTTTGGTGTCACTGAGGTTGACCAAAACCTCAAGGTTTTCTGTCTTGGGACGAATCATCAAGCCTAAAAGAATGAGGAGTGCAGGGAACATGAGATACAGAGGCAAAAGAATCAAAAGGAACTTAGCTAAGGGAAATCCCAAGTTTCAGTGAGGGCTGAGGGAGGTCAGTCCTAAAAACAGGCATCTCCATGGGATTGTGACTGCTAACCCTTCCTAGTAAACACAATTTCCAATGGAATGGGGCAGATCTCAGGAGGAGCTGCTGATGAGGGTGGTCAGGCTCAATCCCTTACTTGGAGTTTAGTGGCCTGCAAAGGATTCCTGGGAAGGGTGGTCAAGTGGGTAGGCTAACCCTGGGCTGAGAAAAGGAAAATTTACTTACCCGGTGTTGCAAGCTGGTCCTGGTACGTGGGAATGTGGTCTGAGACAGTCTGCAGCATGACCCACATGGTAAGGGTGAACAAAGCAGTTAAAAACCCATAGAAGACAAGGTAGAAGAGGAGGATGAAGGCTACAAAGGGGAAGCAAGGGTTAAAAGACTGATGTTGGAAGAGACCTCAAAGGTCACCCAAGACATAAGCATCTGGCCCCAGCCCCTGACTCCCTGCTGTACTCAGCTCTGCTCTTCCTCCTTCCCTGCTGGCTTACAGATCAGCAACAAAATCACCCCCACACACAACCCCACCAGCTGAAGCACAAGCTCATATCATACATAAAGCTGTGGCGGACAACCAGAGAGCCCGAGGGACGCACATCAAGCCAGCACAACACAACTCTGGAGACCCCACAAGACCGATGGACCCAGCTCCTGGCACATAGTAAAGCCTGAATACTTGTCGACTGCGACCTTTGCTGCCACCACAACCCTCTGGAAAAGGCACGGCCATCTTGCTAGAGCACAAACCTCAGAAAGCCTTCCCTCAAAAAGAAAGGCACAGAGTCACGTATAATTGCGAGGATGGCACCAACAGGTTTATGTAAGAACACATCCCAGCCTTACAACCCAATCTTGCAGCTTTTCCAGAAATACCACTCCAGGCCACAGATGCAAAAAATGCTCAGAGCCAACAGCCTTGTACAACTCCCTCAACACATGTACACATACCACAAAAATATACTCTACACCAGTTACACTCCTCCTGCTCCTCCTCACTTCTCAGTCACACCTTTGAATGAACAATTTCACATGTACCAAAGGAATAAGCTAACAATAGTGCCTGGGCACTTCATAGCAATTGATGGTGCCAGGATATCACTGCTTTTTTTTTTACTAGCTCCAAAATGCAAGACAACCTCACAGAATGAGCCTCTCCTAAACCTCCCAAAACCACACAATCAATTCTCCTATTGACAACTACACAAAGGTAACAACTCTACTCTCCCAAACCTATCCAAATTCCACAATCTTATTCTGAGTCAAATAATCTCACAATCACTCAACTCAGGAGGCACCAAGACTTAAGTCTATTCAATTTCCTTGATCAATAGACCTACCTAAGGAGGTCTAGATCCCAAACTGCTCTCACGAAATGATTTCAAGTAATATAGCAGCGAAGCCTACGGCCAAGGAAGGTGATACAACTTGATACAACAATCCTTCAAGCCCACCCCAACTGAGTGATTGATAAATGCATGTCCCACCACTCAATGACCACACCTCCCAACCACAAGCAGCCAGATTCCACAATCCAAACTCAACTGCCTTTCCACTTCAAAAGCCCAAATATCAGACTTCGGAATCACAGGCAATTCAACTCCAACCCTAACCCCTTACTTTCCAGCACCTTCTGTCCCCATCAGATGTCTAAAATAATCTGGGCTAGATACGAACTGTAGAGGAAGATCATCCCCACCACCAGACCCTGACAACAAACTCTCTCTGGACCCAAGGGGAACCAGCATGTGATGCAGGACCTGCCCACTCATGAATACTTAGGAATTATGGAGTGGGGCTCGATCTAAAAATAGACATGGTTTGGTGGTGGGTTCCTTCATATATGATGGATAGAGATAAGTGGGATGGGGAAACGGGGTTAGAAAGGAAAGAGAAAAACATTTTAGAAGAAATCCAGTGAGAGAAAAAAGATGTGAACGCTGGGGACCCCAGCTTGTGGGGGCTCCATGGGGGGTGGGAAGAGAGCCGTGACCTACTTTCTCCACCTCCGCAGCAGCAGCCGGGAAGATTAGACCCAATGAATACAGCTCCCAAAGCCCAGAGCCCCAGCGGGGAAAGAACTGGATGTCAGGGTCCCAAGTGGGGACCAGGTTGGCGGCCTAATCGGGGATCTCTCCGCACCCCCCAGGCCAATCCCCTTCTCCCCACTGGGCCAGGAAGGCAGACGTTTTTCTCGTCTCTTCCAGACCCCGCTGTCCTCAGGCATCCAGGCATCCGATTCTCCCCTCCCTCGCTCGTTTTGCCTTCAGAGACCCAGACCCCTGACCCCCATCTCGTACCCCAACTGGTCCCGGTACGGCCCATGAACTCGTGAGTCCGCGGGTTCCACACGAACTCTTTCCATTCCTCCAACACCTGTCCACCGGTCTTCTTCTCCTTTTCATTGACCATTTCTGCGGCTCTGGGGCTGGGGGCTAGGCAGGCCTGGAGAAGGGGGACGAGAGGCGGGGGAGGCGAGGTGCTAGCAGGGGCGCTGGATGGGGGGACCTTCGGGAAAGCCGATGCGCAAATGGGCTAGGAAGACCCCCAGGGAGCCAAGCCCCTCTGGCCCAAGGCTTTGCCTTGGATTCTTGGGTGCGATGCCCTGCGGAGGGAGCGGGAGCACCAGAGGCTACAGCAGAGATGGAGGAAAAAGGCGTTATGCACAGAACTAAAGGCAACGAAAAGGGGGTGCAGTCAACGCAGAGTGGAGTGGGGCAAAGCCCAAAGGGGAGGATTGCAGCGATGACCCCCAAAACAGCCCAGAGAAGCAATAGTGGGTGTAAAATAAGCGACCGGACGAGGATGTAAGAAGAGCTGGGATGCGAAGAAGCCGCGTGGAGTAAGTAGGGGAGTCCCCGAAATCTGGAGTTAGAGCTGTTGAAGGCAAAGGCAGCAGCAGGGGCGACGACGCACAGAGCCCCTGGTGAAAGGAAGAGGAAGGCAAAGCTGGCGGCGGCTGAATGCTGCGGGTGTAGGGGGACTGGGAAAGAGGGCGCAGCTGTGCGGGAAGCAGCCAAGGACTTTGGGCGGGGGTCGCAGGGTGAAGGCTCAGCTTCTCAGCAGTGCGGGAATGGGGGCTGCGGTTGCTGCTCTATATACTAGGCAGCTTTGTCGTGGGGGGGGAGGTCCACCCCCTTCCCACCCCAGAGGCTCCACCTCCTAGGCTATGGTCAGGCCAGTTTCATGCATATGCAAATATGAGCAAGCCACGCCCCTTCAGGCTTGTCCAGGGGGCAAGGCTGTTCTGTTCTGAATATTAGTATTGTTATCATCATCCTTACCAACAGCTTCACCATCCTTTCTCTGGTCCCCTTCTTTCCCCGCCTCCCCAGCACCACCACCACCACCACCACCACCATAGATACACTAGGACATGGAAGAGGTGAATGGGGTCAGGGGGAAGGGGATCCCACTTGGGGATGCCAGCACCTCAACTACCAATTTGTCTCTACCCCTTCTGAACCCTTTGGTGGGTGCACCTTAATTTAAAAGTACTTCATGGGACCCTGCTAAACTATTGGAGGGAAGCGGGAAGACAATGGAAAGGTCATTCTCAGGGTTAGAAAAAACTGCAGACGACAACACATGTATAACCTATATGGAATTGCTTGCCTTCTCAGTGGGGGGGAGGGGAGGGAAGAGGAAGGGAGAGAATCTGGAACTCAAAGTTTTAAAAACGAATGTTAAAAATTGTTATTACATGTAACTGGGGGAAATAAAATACTAAATAAAATTAAAAAAAAAAACTACAGAAATACTCAGAATGAGACAGCTGTAAGATAGAAAGGATAGGACAAAATAAATAGAGACTGAAATAGATGGAGAAAAAGAGAAACAAAAAGACAGGGAGAGACAGGGAGAAAAAAACCAAGATCTAGGCAGAAAAAATCAGAGATTTGGCATACAAAAAGAGTCAAACAAGGTGGTCAATGGAATAAAAAATATATCTTGAGAAAGTCAGGGAGAAAGTGAATGGAATGAGAGTTTTTTTCTCCTTAGAATTCTATCCCTCACCCTTTGGACTACGACAAATCTCCCTTCTTAAGTCCCAGGCTAACTCCAGTTTGAAACTGCAAATAGGGGACTTCATGGTCTTTTATATCTTTAGTTCCAGTCCCAGCCTCTCTTCTCAACTCCAGACTTGAGTCTCAAAATGCCATCCCCATTCATTTGTCCCTCTGTCACTTCGAACTTAACATGTCCGAAAATAAATGCATCTTCCCTCCTCAATCCATTTGCACTCCTGACCTCTCCATGTCTATCAGTGGCACTTCTCTCTTTCATCCCAAGTCAGTCACCAAATCCTATTGATATGTTTTTTAATGTTTTCAGTATCTGTTCCTTCCTTCTCCTCTTCATTGCCACCACTCTATTCCAAGTTTCTTGACATTTTTCCTCACTCCCAGCTGAAATGTACGTATATTCTATCTATGACATGATGAGGTCAATGAGGATAAGATCCATGCTGTTTTTTGTCTTTGTATCCCCAGTGACTAGTATAGTGTTTTGCAAAAGGTGTTTATTAAAATTGATTGGATTTTCTGAATTCCTCATAATCAGACCATTGCAGCATCCCCCTTACCTGATCATTCTGCTTCTGTCCTTTCTTCCAATCAGTCTTGAATACTACTGCAGGGTAGTATTGTTAAAACACCACTCTCACCCTGCTACACTTGTGAGTAATGGCTGCCATTGCTTGTCCCTTAGGTTCAGAAATCTTGTGCATGAAACTGAAGACTTCAGGAATGCAGGTGGCATTTTCATTACTGCTGCCTATCAAAGCCAAGCACTCCCAGAGAGAAAGATAAATCTGAATCATGTCTAAAAGCGTAAGAATGAAAGGCTTCTTTCCGGCCTAAGATGAAGAGCCCCTAACAGGAGCCACCTCCTGGATTCCCCAGCTTCCTTTAAGTCTTTAGCTAAAATCCCATAACTCTATTGTCTCCCGTCTGTTGATTATTTCCTGTTTATACTGTATATATCCTATCTGCACATACTTGTTTGCATGTTTTCTTCTCTCCTCCACCATCATTACATTGTAAACTCCTTGAGGGCAGGCATTGTTTTTGGGTTTTCTTTATATCCCCATAATGTATCACGGTGCTTGGCACATAGATATTCTTCATAAATATTTGCTTTTTGACTTGACTTTTCTCTAAACTGTGTATATATAAGGGGACTTGACTACTTATTGACAAAGAGAACACTGGGCAGCAATATTGAGTGTAAAAAGGAACTTTTGGAGATGGGAGAACGTTGAGAAAGGAAAGTTGCAGACATGTGAGGAGACAGCTTCCAGCGTCTCCATGGACTTCCATTTCACCAGGCAATGGGATTTTCAGTCACAGCCAGGCCTGGCTATATTCCACTTCTGTGGAGTATTTCATGATCTTCCTCATCTCCAGGTTTTGCCCCAGTATTTGACATGCTACTGAGTGTGGGAGGTTGTAGACTTGGCTCTCCCACCACAATATGGATGTAGCAAATTATGGGTGCCGTAGCCCAAAAGTGACAATCCCCAAATTCGGTCCAATCACTATAGCGGCGTGAGGCTCAGCATGGTAAGATAGGAAGTTTCTCAGGACCAACAGGAGGAAAAGGCAACTGAAGACCTGCGAGCCAACATGTGGATGTCATCACTTCCCAGTGTTTTACAACTATTTCCCTGTGAGAACTTCTAGAACCTTCTAAATTCTCCACAGAGATGAAATGTGCTGCAGAAACATCCCCTAAAAGAGCAAAACAGGCCTGGTAGCCTGGTACAAAAGGGAAATTCTGTAGATATCCACTTAAATTTTAACAAAATATTTGATAAAATCACTCAAACTATTCTAGTTGAACAAAACTTAGAAATATGGGTTGGGCAGATTCCAGACTGGTTGAAAGATTAGACATAAAGAGTAGCTATCAACAAATCAGTAAATGCCTGTTGAACCTAATTGATGTTACGTTATCTCTAGTGGAAATGTCCCAAGAATCTGTTTTGCTTGGGGTGGTTTAGCTTGTTTTTTTTTTTGATCAATGACTTAGATGTAGGCTTGGATAACATGGATGCCTTACTGAATTTGCAAATGGAATAAATCAAGCAGTAATAACTAACACACTGGATGAGAGAATCAGGATCCCAGAAGATTTTGACAGGCTAAAATGGTGCCTCAATCTAAGAAGATAAAATTTAATAGGGATAAATGTAATATCTTACACTCTGGTACAAAAAATCAATATCACAAGTGCCAGATGGGGGAGGTGTGGCTAGTAGCAGTTCCTCTGATAAAGACCTTGAGGCTTTACTGAACTGAAATCTCAACAGGAGTCAACATCATGATAGAGAAACTCCTAAAGCTGATGTGATCTTGGGCTATACTAAGAGAGGCAAAGTGTCTAGGACTAAAGAAGGTTCAATCCTGCTGTACTCTGCCCTGGTCTGACCACATCTGGAATTTTCTTTTCAATTTGGGATCCCACATTTTAGGAATAATAATCTGTAAAGAATCCAGAGGAGGGCTACTAAGATGGTGAATGTCCTCTAAATCATGCCACAGGAAGACTGGTGGAAGGAAATGAGGGATATTTAGGTTGAAGAAGAGAAAACATAAGGGAGACATAATAAGTAAATGAATGACTGAATGAAAAATAATTTATTAAACATCTACTATGTACCAGGCCCTGGACTTCGCATTGGAGATACAAACACAAAAGTGAAAAATAGTTCCTACTTTCATGGAGTTTATTTGAAGGGCTGTCATGTAGAAGAGGAATTTGACATTTTCTAATGACCTCAGATGGCAGAAATAGGTGTGATGGCTGGAAGTTATAAGGAAGAAAATTTGGGCTGGATGTGAAGGGTTAGGAAAGAGACAGCAGAGAATAGTGGATAGAATGGTGGTCTTGGAAGAAAGCAGTTCTAATTTCACCTCTGACTCTACTAGTTGGGTGCTCAGGCCCTCAGAGACCCCCATAGGACTTATACTTCAAATCATAGACAAGATGAATCTATATTGTCTCCCACACCAGGAGTTCCCTTTACTGACACAGATCCTCTGCCTGTTCCTTTGAGGAAAATTTTCTTAACAATCAGAGCAATCCAGAGGTGGAATATGGGCTGCCTTAAGAGCTAAAAGGTTTACTTTCACTGGATGTCTTTCAGCAGAGACCCGATGACCACTTTTGGGGGATGGTGTAGATGTAATTCCTTTTCAGACATGGATTGGACTCTGAGGTCCTTTTCAACTCCTAAATTCTGTGATTCTGTGAAGATCAAAGTCTTCAGTTTGTCATTCAAGGCCTTCCACAATCTGCCCCAATCTGCTTTCCCAGGTTGTACCTGTGCTTAGAGAGTTTTCAGTTTAGTCGGGGGATAGAGTCCATTTACAGATGACTATAATTAAAAATAGAACCCAAAGAGACAGCTAGGTGGCACAGTGGATAGAGTACTGGCCCTGGAGTCAGGAGGACCTGAGTTCAAATCCGGCCTCAGACATATAACACTTACTAGCTGTGTGACTCTGGGCAAGTCACTTAACCCCATTGCCTACCAAAAAACAAAAACAGAACACATAATACCAAAAGAGAAATTATAAGCACCTAAGAGAAGTTACTGAATTGATTATGCCTTGGGACAATGCTGGATTTGGAGTCAGAGTTTATTTTAGTTCAGGTTCTGTCAATTACCATGTACATGTAACTTTGGAGAAGTCATTCACAGAGCTACAGAATCTCAGATATGGAAGGGACACCTCCTTCTTTTATGAAATGATCTGGTCCGTCTGAGCTATACAAAGACCCTTTAAAAGTCATTCTTGACAAGTAGTCCACTCGGAAATATCCAGGAAGGGGACAGTTCATTCCACTTTTGAATAGCTAAAATTTGTTTGTAAGTGTTTTCTTAAGAGAATTAAAAGCAGAATCTCTTTAATTTATACCTGGTTTTCCTAATTCTGACTTCTGAAGTCAAGATGCATGAATCTAATCCTTCTTCCTCAAGATAGTCCTTCAAGCATATGAAGATAGGTATCTCTTTTCCAGACCACCCTCAATTTCTTGAACTGATCATCATCATATGAGATGACCTCCAGGTCCCTCACCATCCAGGTCAC